TTTATGGAAGTAGTCTATTGTAGCCGTGAATCGACCACTTCCGCTCAAAACATCGCCCTAGCATTAGCACCCGCCACAGATTCATGGGCAAATTGAGCATGTGGTTGCCTCATAAAAGTGTTACTGAAGACCTCGCTACTCTAGCGGATGGTAAAGGCCGGTTCTCACATGCAGCGAAGCGCTCCTCACGTGCCGTCAGCTACTTATTGTCTGCCATGAGCAACAGTTTCGACGGTGCGATACAAAGCTGGTGAACGCTCCCGTCATCACGCGCTTAGCGCGAGGTCAGCGCTGTGCTTGTAGCGCTCCGCTGCATGTGTGAACAGGCCTTAATGTTGCTGCAGTGGACGTCCATCCGAATTCGTTTGGTTTCTGAGCATTTGACAGCCGGTTCTGGTGGGTGGTCCTTGCATTTGGCGCGGTGACACGGACGCTCCTGTGACATGCTGCCATGTGCCTCGCTCCGACATTCTTACTGGGTCGCAGGAGCCGTAGCCTCCACGGTTCACCAAGCTATCGTGAAACAGAGTGTAGACTAAGTTGTCTGCTAATGAAAGTAGCGTTGCCAGCATCATGTATTATGTATGAAACAGTGTTTACTTCGAGAAAACAAATAAAGCCATTCATCCTTTCCACTGATTGTTATGGTTCATTAGTAAAACTTGGTTCAGTGAACTTTACATTTCAGCATTAGCATGGACACAACAGGTAAGGTCAATTACAAGTGCTTTAGAGCGGTCCAAACAGTTTCCAAGTGGCTCATGCAAAGCAGCTGACATGGTATTACCCCCAGGAAAGAGACGAGACCTCCTTGATGAATCTACTTCAGCCGCAAGGCACACCAAACTGAATATTGGCGTTTCTAGGAAATTGGGATCAACCAAACAATTCCATGGAAAGGTACACCTCCAACAGCTTTGGTGTGGGGGTGAGCCCTATCTGCAGCGACAATACTGAAGCCTCGCAAGCCACCATCACTAACACATGCGAGTAGTCACTCAGTGCCTGGCATACTTGGGCATTGATGCAACAAGGAAAGATTATCAATGAGTGGACTAGAAATTTGGATCCAAATGGGACTGTCTTCACATTCTTCACAATCGCTGTATGACCACCATCTGTTGGAGTGTTTCTGGATGTCAACAGCCCATCTGGGACCTAGAAATGACAAATGATATTAGAAAGTTTATCACTTACACACTCAGTCCCAGTCTGCTGAGCGAACAAAACAAAAATATGTACATGTTAGCCATTGTTTACTCCCGTGTCAATTCCATGGGGCGCTCATTAACTAGGCTTGGATAGTGCACGATATCCGAATTTTCATCTTGGTAAGGGAACGAAAAAGGAGACAAGCGACACACAAAAACACGTCAGACACTGACAGATACACTGCGCAACACATTTTGCAGAAAGGCGGCATCGGTACTTCGTTGGCAATTCACTCATACTGGGTAATGTGAAACGGCAAATTTGTACTGTCCGAGTTGGTTCACTGTATTACACGTAACAGCCATTCCAACTTCATTCCTGAAAAAAAAAAAAAAAAAAAACGATCGCGTAAAAAAAAAAAACGATCGCGTTTTTGTGGTAAGTTTTGAGCTCTGTGCTTTTCTACAGTGCCATGATTACAACCGTAGACTGAAACTACTATACCAAATACGATGTATGACTATACTGCGTCTCATCTAAGTGCGAACGAAGAGAAAATTACAAACGCGAGAACGCACTGCAAGATCGCACATGGCAGCTATGATCAAAGCTCGGGACTCGCCCATGTAGATTTAACTTCGATCGCATTTAAAGTGAAACGGAACATAGTTTATACGGCCTCCGTGCAGTTTCGAGTCGAAATTCCTAAATATCACGTGCGAAAATGGGCTTCGGAGGATCGCGAAAACACCACATTCTCGGCTGTTTTTCGATTAATAGCGCCTATCGACTCCGCCACACAAGATTTTTACAGACCTCCTAGAAGGCAAAATCTGTTGTGTTCGTAAAGGAAGAACAAGATAAAAGGCAACTTACCGGTACAATCGGGCGGCGGTCTCGCAGTGACCGGCGCAACCGGCGTTTCAATCGCGAGGCTAGGCAAGCGCCTTCTTTTGATGCTCTTCGTCGTCTTCATCTTGGAATATTCGAAATGCTTCTAGCAGACGACGGAGGAATCGTAAGGGGCACAAAGCTGCTCGATCTTGTGGACTCGGCAAATTTTAACCGGGCTACAATAAACAAAAGACTCGCGGTCGCCGCTACAGCACGGCCGCCATGGCCGACGCCGATGTTTGTTTACCCCCCGGCCTCCCCGACATGTGCGAGGGCGGAGCTTAGCCCGAATCGTCATCAACCTCCTCTCCCGCCTTCGCGCCTCCTTTCTCATGCGCAGAAGACGAAAATGAGCCCACTTGCGAGGCGTATACGACCCGTACGCGACCCGCTGTCGAACGTTACATGTCCAGAGAGCACAGTGTCAACAGCACGTCGTATTGTGACTTACTTGACAACTTGAAAGGTTGCGATCAGATAAAAGCATCGTTTGTCTTAGGTGTGTTGCTGCAGCACGACAATGCGCGCCCCTCCACTACACGTGCGGCAGCGAAAAAAAAAGGAGAAGGGTTTAGGTTTCTAGTGCATTCTGTATCCGCCATACTCAAAGTACCTAGCACTGGGCGATTTTAATTTGATCGCGACACCCAGAGCAATTTTCGTTGGGGGGGGGGGGGGGGGGGGGGGGCAATGTTGGAATGCGGTCCATAGATTTTAGTCTTCTCTTTTTATAATTTTGCAAACGAGAAATCTATTGCGCTTAGTGATTGAGTTTGCCTCGTACATATGTTCGGAGATTACTCGGAGTGTAGTGTTAAAAACGATGCATATCTTTCCAAATAAAACAGGACCCACGGCAACAGGTGACGCACACATAGAGAACAATTCTACAGTAGGTGTTTTTTGGTTTTCTAAACCTCGGGGAACGCCAATGTGCGCAAAAAGATAGCAGATGAACATCTGACTTTATTTGTATAGTTACCTTTCAGCAGAATAAACACCTGCACACATTGTGAAGAATATTTCGCACAGAAAGTTATATTTTGATCATAGCTGTCTTAACCACTCAATGAGTGGTTAAGATATGTTAAAATACTTACCTACTGAGAAAGCATTCCATCGGGGACAGGAACAATTGTTAAAATTTCTTCGTTTGGGCAACCAGGGTTCTTTGGAGAACACCCGAATTTTATTGAAACTTCGTTTTGAGAACCCATGTTTTACAGTATGGTTTCTGAGATTGTCTATAGACTTTTTCCAAACCGGTGGCTCAAATCTTTATAAGGAGTGCTTAGAAGTATATATGCCTCGACTTCCATTGCATGTAAGGATTATCTTGGAACCTTCGATAGCATGTTTGTCAAGTCTGTATTTTATATCAGAACAAATTCGCAATGCCTTAGGAATACTATGCTTTCTTATTTTTGAAAGATTTTTCTGTCAATCAAACGCATCGTGAATTTCTGCACCGAGGAAGAGCATGACGACCAGACAGGAGGATGCGATGACAAAAAACGACCGCAGCAGAAAGGTACGTCTAAACATATTGGACAACAGGAACTACATTCAGACATTTAGCTAGCTAAGTATTCCCGAGCTCATCAATTACCTACAGCTTGGAGTTTTTAAAATTAGCAAAAACCAAGATATAAACAAATCATTCGAATTTTTGGTCAATCGACTCTGGCGAACACCTGGCGTGTTTTATACTAAAACGTGCAAGGTGTTCGCCTCGCCAGCGAGATGGAGCCACCTGCTATTCCTTCCCTTGATGGTACACATATTTATTTATTTATTTATTTTACATAGAACAATGCTATCAGAGGAGTCATACGTACTCATTAAAAACTATCCTTGAAAACGTTTCTGTGATTATTTCTTGAAGCTTCTATTTATATTTTTACCCTTGTTTATTTCTTGAAATGGGCCGTTACTGCAAGCAGAAAATAGATTTCTAAGAGATCCAATGCTGCACCGAGACATCAGTGATTCTTAGTCAAGAGAAAAATTCAGAAACTTTGCGACACACAACATGTCAGATTAAACGTCGACCTCATTGCCTACAAAACCATTTCTTTTTTTTAATAAACTTTATCAAAACCGAAGAGTACCCCTATGGCCGCCGTCTCTGCTTCTTGTTACCTTTTACTTATGTCAGCGTGGTGATTGAATCAGCATTTTGTACTAAACGTTTCCAGTACCGTAATGACTTCAAAGACACTTATATGAAAGAAATTTAAGAACCGCCCGAGCAGCTCACGATCCTGCGCGGTTTACATGTCGTCCGCTGGTCCGATAACTTATTAACACAAGTAAATCCATGAAAAAAAAAAAAAACTTTACCGAGAAGTTTTATATGACTTCTAAATGTAAAGATAAGACGCCAGCTTTTCCAAATTTTTTTTTAAGCGAGTTGACTCAAAAATTATAAGTATCCCAGCTTATGTCACCTTTTCATGATTCAGCTGCCTCGACAGAGCAGAAACACGGAGCACATTTTACGGCCACAGCTGTTAATGGGAACCTCTCGGCGAACTGCATAGTCGTCCGACGTGAAAGTTCTTGGTGACGTCATCAGTTACGCCATCAATCACGTGATCGTTCCTAGCCGCCGCACCTGGGACTCCCTGCCACTCCCGCCGCCACCGCGCTGTGGTCGGCATCCCGTTGTGCACGCGCATGTGCACGAGCATCCGAGACTGGCCACTCCCATTCTTCGGCGCTCGCTGTTCATGTTCTGGTCGGGGGGGGGGGGGGGGGGGGGGCCGCAAAGCAAGTGCACGAGGTTGTTGCTATGACACACATTACGCGACAGGGCAAATGTATTTTGATTTTCTGACAGTTGACTAACAAAACTACCCGACATCTCAGAGGTTTCAACAGGCACTTGGCTGGTGGTTGGCGCGAAGCTCCAGAATTAACTTGGGGTTGCACTGTTTACAGGAGAGGTCATCATGAGCGAATGCACTTTGTCCTGGAGCAAACCCAATAACAACAAATCAAGGGCGGGGCTCAATAACGTCACCCTCCACGTCAGTCCCGGGTCATTGGTCGGCGTCGTCGGGTTCGTGGGCAGCGGCAAGTCGTCTCTCCTTGCTGGGATCCTTGGCGACATGCACGTGTCCGGAGGCGCAGTCAAGTGCACGGTACGAGACTCTTGTCCTTCGCAACGGACCACGAAGCAAACACCATGGACATATTTAGCCGCACTCCGTGTTTCTTAAGTTGTCCCTGACTTTAGGGGATTGTAGTCGGCAAAACTCTCTTTTATTGGAGCCCTCGAAAGCTCCGAACAGGCTATGGCAACTGACATCTTAAGAAACGCCAGACGTGGTGAGCGCCGAGCAACGTTACTAAAACACTCAGATGGGAAACTCGCCGTTGAAAACTGGGCCGCTGGCGTCCGCCGAGACCGAGCTAAATACGACAACAGCGCCACTCTTTATCATTTGTTTTTACTGTGGTCACACCTTAAGCTTTTAGAAAGCATGTTTTTGCGTAAAAACAAACAAAACATATTTTCGTAGTAACTTTTATTGAAGTTTAGTACAAAATGAAGGGCGCGTGATTTTTTTTTTTTTTTAATCTTTAGTTTGCAAGGTTTTGCGGCAAAATTAATATTGTTTTTATACAGCCATGCCTCAGCGGCGATTTCAGGTAGCGCGTCCCGACCTAGGCGCATCCTATAGCTTCGGTACTACTTCTCGGCGCGTCCGCTTCGGAGACGGGGGTGGTACCCCTGAAGTTGAAACCCCTTCCACCGTGTCTATTTCGGCGCCAAACTGGCTGAATAAAGCCAAAATAGAGGTCACATGCAGTTCCTCGAGTGGCCGCTGCAGGAGAAATGACGGCGTTGCGATCGCCATTTGCTCGGTTCTCGGGTACGGATCGGTGCCACTTTTTGAGAGCAGGCTCTATGGCAGTTTCCCAACTGAGTAGTTGCAGTAACGTTGGCGCCGAGTATCTAATAGACCGCGCAATCGCCTTTTTTTTATTGATTGACCCCGTACACTGAGTATGTATTGGATACGAGGGCAGTGTCAGCGTTAGGCGAGGAGTCGGATCCAATCACACGCTTCGTATCCTAGCAATGGTGACCAATGTTGCTTGATGTACTTTTGTAAAAGGTCAATTGTCGTTCCGTAGCCGAAGAGGTTGCCGTTTCAGCCGACGAGAACGTCGTAAATGGAATCCCGGGACAAGATATGCGCGAATAAAATGCGCCACGTCATGGGTTTCGTGTGGTTTCAATGACTTAAGGTTGTATATATTTTTGTCATGAGCTGACAACAAAACGAACAGTAGAACTTGCCTTACGTATCTCCACGTCCGCCTTTGTCAAACATTTACTGCGTAATATACATAAATGAAGCTGGCTCAAAATGTTATTGATAATCGATTTGTCAAATAGTAACTGGGTTACTTGTCGTTGAGACTACCAAAATCTTTTAAATCACACCTACAGATATCCGTCTTTTTTTTTTTTTGTTATGTAATCTTAGAGTTTACCATCCAGGCATCATTTGTGCGTGTCTTCGTCTTGAACATTGAGTATGCAAGGCAGCATACAAAAGTTCTATAACAAACGTAACTGCGGTAAGTCTGGTTGGTTTGAATTCCTGGTATTATTGCACCGTGACAAATCTGTGCGGCAAGACCAGCGAAAAAAAATAAAAGCGACTAAGTTTAGTGTGTTGCTAATCGCTCAGCAAAATAACAAAAACGCGTATCGTTTTGATGTAAAAAATAAACAAACAAAAGAAGTTACATTCTCAGCAAACGAAAAAGTACATTTCCCATGTACACGATGGTTGTTTATGAATTTCAGTCTTTGAGGATGTACTAAACGTCAAACGTGCGAGCGGCTTCGAAGGCCTCCGCGGGACGTAACGGAAAAAAAAGTATGACGAGAGTTTTCTGCACACGTGTGGTGATTAATCGGCTGTTCACTAGCTATTTGTCGACAATTCCCGCTGGACCAGATAACTTTTGTGAAGTTCTTTGAGTGGGGAGACGGAAATAGCTCATTACCATTTTGGGAGACTGAGTGACAGATAGAACGAAATAAAGAGCCTTTGCTGCAACTAAGCTCAGAAATCAGTTGTAATAATGATTGCCCCACCGTGTGATCAGAGAGGTACGGGAGAACAGATGTGCTGTTCGAACACTGAATGCTGGACCAGGTGACCCAATAGGTGCTCACCATTAACCAGGCGGTGGTGCTACCACTCTTGGAAGGATAGCGCCATCTCCCGGCAAACTTTTGCTCTCCTCGGGGGCCGTAACAAACCCACTGCCACACTACTTTACCGATCTCGTGAAAAGTGCCAAGCCACACGTCCAGTAGTGTGTTATTATCACGAAAGGTTACATAATTTAGATTGCTGCTTGATGGGTATCCTCTAGCCTTAATTCTTTCATTACATGCCAGCTAGAGTCATATGTCAATATTTGTTTACTAATGAAACGGTTGCTATAGTTGATGTAGTTTGTACACTCAATGGCACTATGAGTCGGCCAAATTAAGTGGTAGTAGAATAGGGTAAAATATCTCATCGGGTGACTCCGGCATGCTAATTAAGCTATGACTTTGATTGCGAGATTGTGAAAGCAGGAAATGTGGTGGTTAATTTCGTCATCTTCGTTAACAGTCGAATACACCCGAGGCTCCCACACGACTTTTGTGCTTCCCTGACCTAAACTCTAGTGGGCCAGCTTATATTGCCGCACACTGTAGTGTTAGAGGCAGTAGGAGCTGAGACAACCAAGTGCCAGCCAGGGATTAAATACCGCATGGGGTGCCTCCAGAAGACATGGAACACACTTCTAGACCGCGACAACAGGAAACGTGGCAGACTATATTCCAAACTTCGGCTTGAAAGCTTAATGCACCCGGGGCTCCCAGCATCGGATTTCTACTAATCCAGCCTGAACGCTGCTGTACAAACTCGTTTTGCCGGACACTGTGCCATGAAGCCAGGCTGGAGGTCAAATTGCATGAGCCACACCTGCTCTCGTGTTTTGATAGAACTCGGCAAACCTTATCAAACTACTTGTTGTTCAGCGAGTTGGTAATAATGTAACTTTAGAAAGAGTTTTATATATAAAGACAGGGGACGGGACAACAGATGTGTTGTCGAGACCCCTGTCTTTATGTATAATACTCTTGCTAAAGTTACGTCATCTAAAATTAGCGCCGCTCATCGCTCAGCGATGTTTTGCTAAATAGTGCCGGGGGCCTTCGAAGCCACGTGCTTAACTTGTTTTGGCCGTAACAATTGTATTTACTACACATGGCGTCTTCGATGTAGTAAAAGGTTAGTGAAAAGGTAATAGCGGCCATATGGTATTAACGGCTGCAGTTACTAACATTGTACTCACTTTTTATGTAATAAAAAACTTGTAAAAGCTAGCAAGGGGCCTATAGTGAAAGTAAATATGAGTAGTGTATATGTTGGAGTGCCACCTCTTAAGCGTTGCTGCGTTCCAGGGCCGAGTGGCCTACGTCCCGCAGATCGCCAGCGTGCACAACATGAATGTGAGAGACAACATATTGTACGGTCAACCTATGGAGGCCAAGGACTACGACCGCGTGCTCGAGGCATGTCAGCTGCATGAGGACATCAGCACATTCCCGGCCGGAGACCTCACAGTAGTGGGAGAAAAGGTCAGCACAGGCCTCTTCGTTTTCAGTAAGGAGTTTAAAGAGCAATTTTGGCATAAAATCAAGTATACCATATTGAAGTTAAGGCACATCGGCAGTTTAGGCTCGTGTTGCCGCAAACAAAAACGTACTCCACACTTTGAGTTAAAAATTTTGCATTTTGTGTAAGACGACAAAATATTAGAATACTTTTTTTTTCCCGTTCTGCTCCTAGAAAAGCACGATGAAAGATAACAAGCACGCACCTGATCTCAACACACCGCCGTTTCCTTCCGCACAAACAAAACGTTCTTCTGCCATGGTCTCCGCAATCACGGCAACGACGTGACTGCTGAGTACACGCACGTGTGAACAACGCGGCACCTGAAGCATAGAGTTAATATGATATATTCTCGAGGGAGAGGTCCCATGTAGAGCACCATAGGGTTCCATGCATTGGGGCCGCTTGGGAACGGTGGGACATAGACACGGACATCGGGGATCCTTGTCGGTCCCAATGAGCACGTATCGCTGGTGACGCCCTAATATGCACAAAGAAGCTGCAAAACGTCACTTGTAAGGTGTGCACCTTGTTCTCTTCTGGCTTGCTTCGCAGGGAAACACCATTGAAAAATAACTTTCAACGGGAACTCTGCCAGAGTACTGGAAGATGAGTAAAATAGGTGATGGCTACGTCTGTTTTTAACTATAGATCGATTGCCTTAACGTCAACGCCATGCAAAATTCTAGAACATAGTTTTGAAACATGTCAGACAGTTTCTTTTTTGTAATAAATTTCTGAGCGAATGTCAACACGGGTTTCGTAAGGACCTATCAACAGTGACCCAGCTTGTAGAGACGGTGCATTATCTAAGTGAAGTTCTTAATAGAAAAGGACAGGTAGATATAATTTATTTAGACTTCAGAAACGCATTCCATAAGGTCAGCCGTAAAAAAACTACTAATTAAATTAAAATGGGCCTAAGGAAATAGTAACGTAGTTGACTGAATAGAGGCATTTCTCACAAATCGCAAACAATTTGTAAGTATTGACGAACACAGGTCTGACATATGTGATGCCAAATCGGGTGTGCCTCAGGGCTCGGTGCTTGGGCTCTTGTTTCTTTTGTATATTAACTACCTTATAGTTGATTCATCTATCGGAGCCAGATTGTTTGCAGACGATTGTATTATCTACACTGAATTGAAGTCTGTCGCCGATCAAGTAACGATAGCCGATATACACAATACACAAAAGAAAACGTATGTATGACCATAACTCATATACTTCCGCGTTTAGAGTTTAGCTACACACTCCAGGGTGCTACCTCGACTAACGTGACTGAATATAAGTATCTTGGCGTCACAATAACTGCAGACCTAAGGTGGACAAACCACATTTAAAATGTTATCGGTAAAGCTAATAAAAGGTTAGAAATTATCCGGCGCACCCTCAAACTTGCCTCACACGAGCGTAAGCTGATTGCATACAAGATGTTAGTTCGCCCCATGCTAGAATATGCATGCGAAGTCTGGGACCCGTATGTGAAAAAACTGCAGTTAAAACTGGAAAATGTACATCGACGCGCACTGCGTTTTATTTACTCCCGTTACCGAAAGCAGGATTCCTTTATGACAGAGCCAGTTTACCACTGCTTCAACTCCGCAGAAAAAAAAACAAAAAGTTCAGGCTTTTTTAGAGTATCAATAATTTGGTTCTTGTTAACAAGCATCGGTATATAGATGAAGAGACGTCAAGAGTAACCAAGAATAAGCATGGACGGCATGTGAAAGAAAGAAGGTTTAATAAGGAATGTTTTAGATACTCGTTTTTCTTGCAGACAGCGCGGTATTGGAACCAGTTGCCAGAAAGTTTTGTTGATGCACTCGACCCGGTTGGAGTTCGCATCACTTTTTTCTTAACGCTCGGTCGCGCTACAGGCTGTTTGTTACGTTACTATATTTTACTATCGTTGCTTTTGTTGTGATACTGTTTCTCTTGTGACTGTGTTGGTGCAGGACAGCGAAGACTGCGACTGTTGGCCAGTTCATTGTATCCCACCCGTACCTTGGTCTCCTAATTGGGACTGATAGTATGTTCAAATAAAAATAAATAACATAAAAATCCAGCGTTGGATAAAAATAAATGAAGTTGATAAGCGTTCGAGCAACTTCAACTCACTGAGAAAAAACAAACGCGCCTAACCTTTCGTCTGCTTTTTTCCCCTCTGCTCTTCTGTCGCTCTCTTTCTCATTCTTCCTCTCAGGACCGCCGATGCCAGCGCTCAACGTTTTGCCGCGTTCTTCTCCCGTCTTTGCCCCCCCCCCCCCCCCCCCCCCCTCTTCTCCCGGGTTTGAAACCAGCAACTGCCGATGCCATTTTCTGAACACCGTTCGCTAAGTGTAAAAGCGATGCGCGACTACCGTAAAATTCCGTATTAACGCCCTCCCTCAATTTACCGCTCACCTTATATTGATCATCTTTAATCTGTTCACTATTGGTGAGCATTAGTTCGTCAGTTTGCTAAGTGTTATTTTTGTAATCATTGTCACTGATCAGATAATATTCGTTTCCACTTTCAACTAATTGATTTTATTGTAGTTAGACATAAAAGGGGACCTAGACTGCTTACCGGAAGGTTTTCAGTGACTGAAGTTGTTAGCGAGGAAGAGCAGGTTCCTGGTAATACCAAGAATAGCTGAAATACAAGTAACTCTGCGAGATGTTTAGTTTGCGCACAGGCAAAGAATGCCAGGGCCGTAACCAGGGGGGGGGGGGGGGGGGGGTTAGGGGGTTCTGACCCCCCCCCCCCCCCAAAAAAAAAATTTTTTTTCTGGGTACGGCCCTGGTCGGTGCACTTGCAGCCAGCCGATTTTAATCTCCACCTCTGCGCACGCGCAGTGGCGCCGGTCGGCTACCGGGTACCAAACCGGGACCGGTTCTCCGGTTTGCTGTAACTCTCCATTATACGCCACCGATGCACATGATTCATAGGCGAAAATAGGACAATAGACACTTTCAAAATGGCCGCCGTTGTCCCCGAAACCCCCCCCCCCCCCCCCCCCCCGAAATTTTTTTCTGGGTACGGCCCTGAAGAATGCTAAGCCTTTTCTTTCGAATGAAGTGTTTGTGCGCATACGAGCTTGTGCACGGTGAAACTGAGACGTTGTTATGTTTGCCTTTTTTCATTTAACCTGCCTCGGGGTTTTAACACCAAATGAGTTTCATCAGCCGAATTCTCGGAGGAAACCGTCATGAAGAACCGTCACGAAGGACTGGGACATCAGTGACATCATGTGGCACCAACATATCACGTGACATGACGTCACGTTACATCCTGACGCCATAATGCCACGTGACGTCACAAGACACTGTGACGTCACGCAACGTTATGGTGTTACGTGACACTGTCAAGTCACAGTGACGTGACATCACACACACATAGCTCATTCACACGCATTCTGTGCTTCCCAGATTTTGTGAGCATGGTTAAGCTAGTCTAATTTCTTCAGTATTACTGCTCTCTCTCTCTTTTAATACTAGGGTGAGACTCTTAGCGGCGGGCAGAAGCAGAGGATCAGCCTGGCGCGCGCGGCCTACAACCAGGCAGACGTCTACCTCCTCGACGATCCTTTGAGCGCTCTCGACGTTGTCGTCGCGCAGAAGGTCTTCAAGGAAGTGATTGGCAAGGAGGGCATCCTCAAGAAGAAGGTTTTGCGGCTGCACTAGCCAAACTTGTCTCTTGTGTATTTGACAGGTGAAGAAAGCAATTGATGCTCAAGCTCCAGCGCGAGCTTCCTGCCTTTGATAATGCTGTGCCACACGTGTAGCTTGAACCCGGTTGAAGGCAACAAGCACGTGCTGGAGGCGGATCATCAACTGGCTTCTTAACCTGTCGCCGAGTATAGTTGCGTATAGACGCTTTCAGGCAGCTGTGCATGGGCGCCGCCATAACCGACCTTCAGTTTTTGTTTCCTCTTATTTCGTTCGATCCACTTCATCATTACCACAGCAGGACAGGTAATTGCCATTTCAGATTCTACCGTGTCCTTCTCCCCAGCATAGGCCCTTGTGGAGGCTCGTCAACGCCCGCTTCAGTCGCTCGACATCTCGGTAATACAAGAGAAGGTCGGCTATGGCGGCTGAATTTGGCGCGCGCTGAAAGCGTCTATAGGATTGTGGCACTACAAGCGGGACACACGAAAAAGTACTTTTGACTGGGGTTTGTTATTACTAGGAAAACCGTGCTTCCGGTAAGTACTGACCAAAGATTAAAGGTGCCCTGAGGAGGTTTGAGAGATTGCCTAAATATGTCGATAACTCACTTTGCAGGCTCTAAGTATCCTAGAAATTCATAAATCCTACCGATGCGCGGCCCAATTTCCTTTTAGAAAAGCAATCAAAGAACGAACACCCCGAATTCATCTCCGGCGTTGGGAGGAGCATTGTTCCGGCAACCAGGACGACATGTGACCAATGAAAACTTGATATTTCGTTGATATTGTAGTAAAAAAAAAAAATATTTTTCACGGAGAGGGAACGTAATACTGCAATCATCGACTTAAAAACTACGCACTATGTTTCTTTTCTGTCTTTTTCTTGTTTTCATTGAGAGTGATGTGCCTGGTCGTCAGCTCTCGAGAACGCGCTCGCTGAGTAGAATCGTGGTCCGGGCCCGGGTCTATGGGCAACGAGCCGCACGCGAATATTCGAGATGTCACTTCGCGGTTCCACTGGTGCGAGGTGCGAGGATCCTTCGCTTGCTATTGGCTGACAGTGGTCCTGGCTGCGAAACATGCTCCTCCCATCGCTGAAGATGACTTCGGTGTGCTGATATATTTGATTGCTCTTTTAACAGAAAACTCGGCTGCGTATCGTCGTGATTTAGGCATTTCTAGGATGCTTAGAGCCAGCAGAGTGAGTTATCGCCACATTTAGGCAATCTAAGAAACTTCCTCGGGGCACCTTTAACCCTTATGCAGATATTGTCAAAATTAAGGAATTGAAACCAAGTGAAAGGAGACAGAAACCTATATAGAAAAAGTCTAGCCTAACGTCCATTGTACATTTTGTTAAATTGACGAAACTGTATCGACGGCAAATTGGATAGCATAAAAAAAAGTTCGCAACTTATTTTATATGAGCGGTAATTTTAATATACTAAGTAGCTGACTCTTACTGTCGGGAAAATAAATAAATAAATAAATAAATAAATACAGCTGGTGATACAGTATACGCAATATTAGAGAGACACTTGAATGTTGAAACAGGCAGTAGCATGTTTACTGCTGGTTAAATTTTGAGCCACGGTCCCGGTGACACATTTTTGGTTAAAATTTGGTTTTCGACTGTGTGTATGGATTCTTAAAAGCCCGAAGAAGCATAGATAGAACCAAATTTGACCTTATTTGTCCAGGGTCTCTTGGTCTTAGTTCGTTAAATAAGTGCCAAAGTTAGGCTTTCCTGTTGGTAGTTTGACTTTCCCCTGGCAATTTTGGGACTAAATCGAAAAAAAGGAGTGTTAGAGCTAGGCTTCATTTCTGGTTGTTTGATTTTGTTTTCTCTGGCAACTTTCAGCCTCAATTGCCAAACAAGTGCCAGATTCAGGCTTCCCTGCTGGTTTGTCACTCACACGTGGACGTGGTATCTTTGGCCCAAATCTGGCACTTCGGCAATTATGTGACGAGCCAGAGAAAAGCAAATGAAACGCTAAAGAAAACTGTTCTGGCACTAACTATAACGCCTTCGAGCAAAACCTCATTAGGCCCAAGTTGGATTTCACCGAGCGTTTGGCGCATGCTTGACGCCGCGATAATTTTAATTCACAGGAGGCAGACGGCGGTAATCGAGAGGGCGCGTGACGTTTCGTGCTCTAAACGCGCCGAGCTCCACCGAGGTTGCCTTACGTGCTGAAAGACTAAAGTTCTCTCGATGCATTGCGGCAGCGGTGGCGTAGTCAAACTGGCTGGTGAGGTCGGTCTATTCTACCAACTAGGGTGTTTCCTGATGTGCTACCTGGGGAAGCTATTTCTACGTGCATCGCACTTCGCAAACTGCTCGAAAGAAACACTTCTAACACGTCTCATAATTGTTTTATAAGCTTTTATTTGCTTTCATTTTAGACCCGGATTATGGCGTGTAACCAGGGCTCTTTTCTGAGCCATATGGACAAGCTGGTCCTTCTTCACAACGGTGGCGCCTCAGTTTATGACACACTCGTGGATCTACTTAAAGATAATAACGCTCCGGAAACACTTCGGCATGAATCCGAGTCGACGCACCGGGAAAATAGGCTCATCGAGAATACGTAAGTTAATAGGATGCTCACTTATAAATAGGAGAGCTGTTTCTCGTTTCAACCTCCGATGAGCGGGTCAAACTAACAACTGATGAAAAATGTTTTAATATATACCAAACCTGGATGCGCACACTCTATACTCTTATTCACCTCAGGAAGCGTAGAAGAAAATGTCCGGCTGCTCGCGCACTTTTGTTAGCGATGGACAACCTGCCGGAGGTAATTTCTATAGAACTCGATTTGAATGTTCAGGAATCGCTCCACTTCAGTAATTACTTAATCGTCGTCCTTGAAATGCTTTCAAGTTTGTTTGGCCACACTGGAAGCGTCTGTGCCATCTAACCACACTCTGAGAAATGCCTGCGCGTCTGCTTACCCGCAAAACACTCAACGAGCCAATCTCTGCGATCCACGAAATCAGCTCAACGAGTGATGAGGCAGAACGTCCGTTTAGACTTAAAAATGAAGTCTGCGCTGTGGCATTACGCAATGCAAAGCGTCATGCTTGCATTGTCGAATGCCACAACGCAGACTTCATTTTTAGATATTTATGAATGCCCCTCGATATTTATGAATGCCCCTCGTAAATGTTCCAAGCGCCACTGAAAGCTTCGCTTTTTTTTTTTTTTTTTTTCCGCCGACAACAAAATTTTGTAAGAACTTCGGCAACGCGGAGAGAGTTCGCAAAACTTGCTCTTTTCTTGAGGCAACAAGTTATTCTCTCTGCGTGTAATTTTCGCGCAAATTAAAGATAAAATTATTATGATGTGGCGCAGGAGTTTGAATGCCCCCCTCAAAGAAGGCCGCCATCAGGATGTTCAGTCATTCCATCATGCGTTCAACCAGACCGCCGCCTGTTCTAGACGTTATTTTCTAGCCCCAGTTATTTGTACGTCTGTTCATTTTCCACCACGCGTCCAAGCAGTTTCTTCAATACACATTACACATGTGTGGCGACTGACGGCCTTATTGGCACGTGCTGCAATGTCGGAGAATTCAGCCAGCAACCTTCTATGAACAAGGCATCTAAAGGTTGTGTGACGCCATGCTAAGTGTCTAAAGTTGAGTGGTGATTCCGTCGAGAATAACTGTACTCCGTTTCACGGTAACTTAACGAACTGTAGAGGCTGCGTCCCCCCCCCCCCCCCCCCCCCCGGCCCCTTTCCCTGAGACCCAATAGGAGCGTAGGAGCAAGCACGTGACGACACTCCATCCGGGCCATGGAGGCCTCGTTATCGCAACAGCAACAGTGCCGTCCGCGACAAAGAGTAATTCTAGGCTTCTTGTTTTCTTAGTAGTGTTGCGGTCAGATTCTTCTGACACACAACACTACACGACACGGAAGAGAGACAAAGACATGTTACTTTTCAACGTAACTTAATACGGACCTACACCTTTCCGAGAACAGCATGGCTTTTAAACGATATTTCAACGATCGCGGCCATGTAATTAACCACTTCCTCTCAAAGCATTGCCCTAGCTGGTATTAGAACTCGTGCACAATAGATTCGAGGCTAAATTGAGCGTATGGTTGTCTCAAGAACTATCCACGAAGAGCTCTCTACTCTATCGGACGGCAATGTTGAGGCGGTGGACGTTCACCCGTAGTTGGTTGGTTTCTCAGCAGACGACTTTTCGCCAGCAGACGACAGTCAATCCCTCCGGGCCTCGCATTTGGCGCAGTGACACGAACGCTCCAGTGACGAGGTGTCTAAATGCCTCGCTCCGATGCTCTTATTGGGTCGCGGGGACCGTAGCCTCCACAGTTCGCCAAGTTCTCGTGAAACGAAGTATACAGTATGTCTATAAATTTAACGGATATTGAAACAGTTCTTGTGACTTTTGCTTTTCTTAACCAGCTCATCGGAAGTTGAAGCGCAAACCAGCTTTCACATGTCATGGAGGCTTCATCCGGGAAGTATCCACCTTGTCGCAACCACCTCGACACGTGACCTATAGAAGAAACATAGACCCACAAGATTTAAAATTCTATTATAATTTATTCGTTCATACCTGCATTGCGATGAATGTTCGCCGCCTCTTAAGTTCAGAGTTTAGTTATAGTAGAATTATAACAAAGGCAAAGAACCATTAACTGTCAAACGTGACTTCCAGTGTGCAGCGCTTAGCACTGCGGCCCCCTTATTTTTTTGAAACATCAGTTTATCATTATTGTGGTCACTTGTTCTTAAAACGTCCTTAATACGTCGTATGTAAGCTACGCTTTCTACTTTACTACGCTATTACTGTATTGTGTTGGACCGTGAGAGAAAGCGAAGCTGAATCTACAACCACAAGCATGCTGTCTCGGACAACGGTTTCATTTCAGGAGCGGACGTGCATAGCTGGTCCTCTGAAAGTTGTAGGGCTCTCTCCTGGAGTACCTTTTTCCGCGAATTTACGGCGAAACTTGTTTTATTTGGTTAAAACGATTGTAGCTGGACAAGTCGGCAGAAGTTATAGAAAGGAATTAAAAACAGCACGAACAACAGGAAGATTAATGGAAGAGCGTTATGCACCTGTGTCTTATACTGCTAATAGTTATTGCGTTCTTCGCGCTCTCTTTATTTCTTGCGCTTTCTAGAAGCCAAATTCTGGCTCGTTCATGTCTTTAGCGGGGTTATTTAAAGTTGCTAGCGCAAATCAGTCCAGGGGGTCACATCTTTTGTGTTGTTGCAGCGGTCATGATGTGGACCTTAGCGGGGAAGGATCAAATGGACGCGTCATCAAAGACGAGCTACCAGAATCAACCAAGGTACCGTATCGCTACTGTGCTAAAAATAATTTGCATATAAAGTGGGGTTTCTTTGTTTTTTCAATAGAAAAAAATAACGTCCTTCACAATATGCAAGATTGGATGAATAAATATGGAGGAAAAAAAACTGATGCCTTGAATTATAGTAGAGCATAAAGAAAAATAGGCGCACAATTAAAAAGAACCGCGAGACTAAGCTTTAAAAAAGGAGAGCAGAAACACAAACTCTCAAATTTGTTCTTCGTCCCTGCAATTTTATTTTTAATTTATATCGCATTTTTGAGTATGATTCGTTTTAAAATAATTAATTAAATATTTAATTCTATGTTACTGTTATTATTATATTTATTTGGCTCTGGAGGGCCGCGGCACCACGGAAAGACAGCAGCCTTACCTTATGGAGGCCAGCAATGCCGAGTCTAATGAACATTGCGTTCTTACGCAACGTTTCAATTTTCTTGATTAATACACTTTGTTACTAGTGCGTATATAGTTTAATGAGGAAGTTTTACGTTATTATTGCATCAAATGTGTGGACTTACGGTCTAACTAGAAAGTGCAGAACAGCTTGTTTTTGTTATATGTGCTCACAAAGACAATATAGACTGTAACACCCCATTCGGCTTTATTCATTTTTTTTTTTTGCACCTGAGGCTTTGTTAAGCTCCATTATCTTCTCAATTGTCTAACAGCCCGAAGTATGAGAGCTCAAATTCGCATTCCATTCTTAGTTCAAACCACAGCTCCCTCAAAATCAGGCAGGTATGGCAAAGAAGCGCGGAGGACTGTTTCAGCTCCTTTTGCCCGGGGATAGCATACATGCCCTACTCGGTCAGCTGAGCATCGGTCGCTGCCCAAGTATCCCTAACATTATAAGGAATTAAACGTTCGAGTTAGGTAGATGAATCTTAGGAAATCACCTCTCCTAATGTTTTATTAATGTTCGATGCACATAACACATTTCGTATTGAGGCCTCTGAGCTCTTCATCTACAGCGAACATTCAAATTCCCTGCGGGCAAAGTCGAACGTATCCTGACAATCTTGCAACCGTGATCAAGGCTTCAAAAATGCAAGATGACATGTTCGGTTTGTATACCGTATTTTTCGGTGTATACGACACACTTGTGTATAAGACGCACTTCCCACTTTTTACAAGTATATAGGACGCATCTGTGTATAAGAAGCACCGCCGAAAACTGTTGAAAAAAACGTGTCTTATGTACGAGGTGTGATCAGAAAGTTCCGGGACTGATTTCGTAGCGTAAAAAGAGAAGGCAGCACAGTGATGCGCGCTCAGCTGTCAAAGGAAGGGACCTTCGTGTCTGGTTATACCAAAGAGCGCCGCTCTGTGAACATTTGGAGCTGCGTTTCACGAGCTTTCGTGACCACGTGTATGGGCACAATGGCGATTTTACTACAGACTACAAACCAGAGCGAGAGCGAACATCAATGTTGCGCCAAACTCGACAAACAGAAAGCAGAAACCTTCGATATGATTCAGCAGGCTTGTGTAAAAAAAAGCAGTGACTTTCGCGAAGTTTCTTAAGTGGCACTCACGCTTCAGGAGCGGCAGAACATCGCTGGAAGACGATGAGTGGTAGGGCGGCCTTATCCGATCTCTCCTTGACTTCGGTGACGTTCTGCCATTCTTGAGGCGCGTGTGCTGCTCAAAACACCTCGCACACCTCACTTTTTTTTTTTTTTACACAAGCCTTCTAAATCATCTTAGAGGTCTCTGTTTTATGTTTGCTGAGCTTGACGTAAAATTGACGTTCGTTCTCGCCTTGGTCTGCAGTGTAGGGAAAGATCGCCATCATGCTCGTGCATGTGGTCAAACGAACCAGTGTAGCGCAGCGCAATATGTTCATAGAGCGACGCCCTTTGGTATAATGAGACACGAAAATTCTTTACTTTGACTGCTGCGCGCGCATCACTGTACATGCCCTCACTTCCTACGCTACAAAATCAGTCCCGGAACTTTTCGACCACCCCTCGTATGAGAAGCATCGTTGTATAAGAGGCACCAGCCATTTTTTCGCAAGTTTTTAGGTAAAAATTAGTATATAATACGCACCTGTGTATAAAATGCACTGCCAAAATTTTTTGAAAAATAGTTGGTCTTATTTACGAAAAAGTACGGCAATATATCACATAAAACGGACCAGTAAGAAAACAACAACGGTATTGAACTTTGGCAAGAAACCCCCAAAAAATTATAAGTTGGCAAAGTCACACTTACGCATAAAAAAAAAAAAGACGCGGTGTATGTTATGCTTTTTGTTTTTAAGCACACCAATCTGTATACATCCCCACCCGAAAGAGACGTCTGAGCTTTGCCAGCCTTTTCTTGTGCAAACGTGTTTGAACGTTAACTAATTTTGTGCCACCTCGCTTCACAAGGCAACGGTTTGATACGGATCGTAAAGCGTTTAAGCAGTGGTCGTACTGCGAATACATTATACAAAAGACAGCCTGAAAACACCGTCCTAGCCATGTCTCTTTCTTGTACGTTGATACTGTGACACTGGTCATAGAAAGCCGTCTGCAGACTTGTTAGAAGCCTACATGTGCATGAATCAAACGAGCTCTTGAGGCGTGTCCGCGGATATTTTTGTCCTCTTGTCTGCGGAGAAACTCCGTGTCCTTTGTACGATATATGAAGGGTGCGAACGCGGCTATGCTCTTCTGTGCATGCAGAGTTTCTGGCAGCTGATCCGTGCCCTGGCTAGGATGTCCGGGCCCTGCATAGGCATCGGCTTCTTGGCATGCGTGGTGAGCGCGGTTGCCCTCGGCTGGCAGCTCGACTGGGTGAGGACGTGGACTAGGGCGGAAGGCAGCATGGTGCCCATGGAGTCGCAGGAATCACCCTGGATTTGGGCTCTCGCAGCCATCTGCGCCACCGATGGTACGTTGGTGTTTCCTCCTTTTTTTGAGTCGTTGTTGAATCTCGTACGTCCTCGTCGTAGCTGAACAAGATTGTTTCTGCCGGCACTGTAGCGTTCGCGAGGCACGACTACAAAAAAGGCGTCGTCCCACGAAAAGTCCGCGAGCGACCATTTAATGACAATACAAGCGGCACTCTATGCTGGTTTATCTTAAAGGGCCTCCAAAGCCTAAAATGGGGGCTGTTAGTTTCATATAAAAACCTTGTGGCAGGTGCCCGGACCTCCTCGTGGAACTGTCCACGAAATTCCAGCTCGCGATTTGAAGAAGAAAGCGTATAAAACGCCCCTGGCAATTCCCATAACATGGTCAGGATGTCGTTTCTTAAGCGCTTTCCTTTTCCCACCCTTCTCGCAATCTTGTGGGAACCACGTCTTCCCTGCATTCCTATCGAGATCTAGTTCAGGCAGGCCGCGGGACGTCGCCATGTCTGGGCACGTCCCGGATACGAGCCGGGGCCGTACTCCCTTGTGGACGACTCTGCTTCGCCCTTCTCGGGTGGTCTGCCAAAGGCATACCCTTCGGGATCTTCATGCTTGGACGCGTCCGCCCCTCCGGCCAGCCAACCTACATCCGACCACGCCGGCCGCGTCCACTCCCGCCGGCTATATAAGACAGTCAAAACCAACGGCCAGGAGCTACACTCGCTGCGGGAGGCTCGGCTCAATGGAGCCTTCCATTTTCGTTCTTACCTTCCCCTTTCGTGATGCTGTCAATAGCGGCGGCGCTGACCCTGAGTGGTGATACTGTCAAAAGAGACAGCGGCGTCACCTCGGACTCTGTTGGCCCCCGGTCATAAGGGTAGCGTATTCGTCTATAAACACGTCATTATCCGAACCCAAGGAACCTACTGTGTTTCTACGTTATTCACCACATTCAGTGGGAGTTGATACCACGAGGGCGCCACACTATTTGGTGCCCCAGTAGACTTCCGGTAGTGTATTTATTTATTCTTCAGCAACGCACAGCGGTCGGATAAGAAGAGCATCCTTCAGGAGAAGTTTGTGTAGTATGTTTGTAAGAACATTAGTGCATTGTACAAAGTAGTGCAAATAACAAAAGGAGGAGAGACAAATGGAAAAGAAGAGGAAAACCGGAAGCGCGCAGGGGTCCGCCGATAGAGGGTGGTAGTGAGCTTGTTTGCAAACAAACATCGGTGAATACCCCAAAGGGGAAGCCCACATCTTGCGTCCCACGTTTGGCGCCAGATGTGGGTTTGCCTCTTGGGGAGGGGGGGAGGGCGGTACCAGGTAGGCACACAATATGTCTGTGGCTCCGTAGAACGACGTGTTTAATGACTGAAGTGCCAACACGTTGTGCTCTCAATAAAGTACGAAGTATCGCCGCTGTCTCGAGAAGGAGTTGTAGCAGATCGTTTTTCTCCTCCGCTAAGGTACCCGTAAAGAAAACGCCGCAGCTGTGCATGCGCGCCGCCAGCCTTGTGTGCATGCTTCAAGGCCTTGTGGCGGATTACGGAGCGCTATACGGTGCTTAGCGGGCTGCGGAAACGGTATAAAATTCCTTATTGTTACAGGATCCCCAGTTGGACTCCGCACTGTCGCAACCGACAGAATCACAGAAAGGGGACAAGCCTAAAATAGAGCTCCGTTGAGCAAGGCCCTCGACCGACGAGAGCCCCCGGCCGTTCTTTAGGGCCGACTTGTTTTGCCTCTGGGAATGGACGCTCCCGGAATGTCGGTAGATTTGCTCCTCGGAGGGGCGGACGTATCCAAATATGAAGATCCGAAAGCGTGTGCCTTTGGCAGACCACACGAGAAGGGCGAAGCAGAGCCGCCCACAAGGATGAAAGCTCTCGCCGTAAACAAATACAACAACAGCAAAAAATCTTGAATCTTTTTTTTTTTCCGTTTTGTTTTTCAGTGATTGCCAGGTGTTTAGGGAGCGTTCTTTTGGCCTCGGCAATGCGGCGACTGTCAACTTTGCTTCATAACGAGATGATCCGTGCCATTCTGGCGAGCCCCGTCACTTTCTTTGGGTCCACACCTCGTGGGAGCATTGTGAACCGGTTTTCAGTGGACCTTGATTACATCGACAATCGACTGTACCTGACCGGCAAGCAGTGCGTCCAGCACACTCTGTTCGCAGTCTCCAGGCTGGTCATCATCGGCACCCAATCAAAGTTCGTCTTGGCCGTTGGCGTTGCGTCCAGTGTTCTTCTCATCTTCCTTCTGGTAAGAAGCCTTTTAACTTCCGGGAAGTGGACGTCTTTGGGTAGCGGACGTTTCAGCGACGAAAGTTTCGAAGGTAGAAGTGTCGGTGGCGGACGTTTCGGTGGTGGGTGTTTCTGTGCTAGAAGTTTCGGTGGCGGACGTTTCGATGGCGGAGATTTCGGTGGCGGAGATTTCGGTGGCGGAGATTTCGGTGGCGGAGATTTCGGTGGCGGAAGTTTCGGTGCTGAAAGTTCCGGTGGCGAACATTTCGGTAGCGGACGTTTTAGTACCAACCGTTGGAGACTTTGAGCAAACCGGTACCGGGTTCCACGCACCGCACTTCCGGAGCCTTTGAAGCATGCTTTTAAGCGCGCGCCCGGGTGATACCGTGACCCCGAGGCGCGCGCTTAAAGGCATGCTTCAAAGGCTACGGTATTGCGGTACGCAAAACATGGTAACGGATTGCTAAAAGTCCCCATTGCGGTACTAAACCTTCCGGTACCGGCCCGCCACAAATTCAAATGCGTAATTATTTTGTATTGATAACTCTGCGAAACTCTACACCCTCAATCGATAATTTACCGAAACAACTTAGTGCGTACCGAAATACCCGGTACGAAAGCTACCGGATAACGGAAAAATCGCGTACCGACACGACCACATACCAAAAATGACCGCGCACAAAAACGCCCAGGACCGAAACGTCCCACCCTAAATAAACTAAAAAGAAAAAAAAAAGAAGAAAAGAACAACAACATGTTTTTGTTTTAACGTTTTTTGCTTTCATTATTTGGATAAGAGTCAAGCACAAAGCAAAGTGTCGGACATTCGTTATCAGGATTAGTTTTCCGTTTGTTTTGATACTAATCGCAGTAACAAACGCCGAAAGAGGTTGAGTACTGCCCACTTTCGTCTGTTACAGCGAGGGTTTGTTCTTTCAATTTGGTACAGTCCAAGCGGCCGAAATATTTGGGCAATAGACCTGTTCGAAACGTACAGCGCCGCGACGGCGGTGGATATCGGGAACCCTCGGTACAGATCACGCGCTTTCTCGTTGAGACTGCACCTCAGTCGCGGCAGCTATGCCGCCAGCAGCCATGGCACAATTAATTTAGTCCGTTATTGCGGACTAAACCAATTATGTACAGTGAAAGCGCCATAATTCGGCGTTTTTCTCCGAGTGCGATTGCTTTAGCCGTTCGGTTTAATCGCTACCCTTATTACGTTTACTTCACTTCATCACCATAGGCCAGGCTATTGCCAACTGAGATCCAATAGACATATTGCTATATTACCCAAGCATCAAAAAGAATGCAGGGATTGGTGTTCCACGCGCCACACGCGCACGCCTTCCCCGTATAAAAGATTAAAAGTAAATATCCAAAACAAAGCGTTGACGAACGGGCGTGCAAGATGCAATTTGTTTTAGGTATTCGCTTTAGAAAAGTTACTACTGCTGAGGCCAGTACGTGCGCCGCGTGGAACACCAATTCCTGCATTCTCCTTGGTAATATAGACGCTTTACACACGCGCCAGAATACAGCCGCCATTGCTGACCTTCTCTTGTTTTACCGAGATACCGAGCCACTGAAATTGGTGTGGACGAGCCTTGACAAAGGCCAATGCTGGGGAGAAAGACAGAAAAAAATCTAGGATGGCAATGACCTAGCCTGCTATGGTAATAATGAAGTTAAGTAAACATAGTGAGAGGAAACAAAAACTGAAGGTCAGTTATAGCGGCGCCCATGCACAGCTGCTGCAAAGCGTCTATAGCAAACGGTCTATTGTGTACTTCTCCCCAGCATTGGCCTTTGTGGAGGCTCGTGAACGCCCGTTTCAGTGACTTAGTACCTCGGTAAGACGCGATAAGATCAGCAAAAACTGCTGCTATCTTACGCGTTTTTTTTTTTTTTTTAATGCGTGTACAGTTATCGATTTTTCTTCTAGCGGCTGGCGGGAAGAGCATCGAAGCTACCAAAGTTGCGCGAGAGCCTGCACACGTCCCGCTTATTGTCCCACGTGACCGAGACCATGGACTCCCTGAGCAGCATTCGAGCGTACGGCGTTTTGGAACGCTTTTCATACCACTTGTGCCGCCTGGTGGACGACGTCGTACGAGCCTACTGGGCCTTCGTCAGCGTGTACCGCTTCGTGCGCCTGGCGGCGGTCTTCTGCGGCTTCGTGACACTTTTCTGCACGATGCTGTTCGCCGTCTGGCTTCTTCCTGAGGACTCGGCGGTGGACCCGAGTACCATCGGACTCTCCCTAAGTGCTGCGTCGCTGGTAAGATGGCCAGTGCGCATGACCACAAGGTTCTTTGGGAGAATTTGGGCTTTTTCTTTCAATTTCTAAAAACACGGTTCAGTCAAGGCTATAGACCAACACACTGTTTAAGAACAAGCCCGCGTTTGCTCATAGATCGTGTGGGCGCTGCGCGTGCGCAGGAATCAGGTTTTTGTCAAGTGATACGTTTGCGCGTGCGCCGCGCCGACAGGAGCGCCACCGTAACTGCGTAACGTCAACCGCGTGCTGATGTATACGAAAAAGAAAAGAAGAAAGAACAGGGAGAGGAGGAGCGCCGATCTCTGATGAGAAGGATTCGTGAGTAGACATAAAGGCTAGTTATTTTTGTCTCTAGACTCTCCACCCACACATTGTCTCCCTCCAATCAGAGCGAACAAGAGCATCATCTGCTCTTTCGCGCAGTGTCTTTGCGTTTGAAAGTCAGACGCTGGCGTTCGGCATTCGAAAGCGTTCCAGGAGTGAATAGAAACAAAGGCGCCTAGCCTTTGCGTCTACCCACTTGTTCCTTCCAATCAGAGGTCGGCGCTCTGACGCCCCAGCGCGCTCTGAACTCCTCCTATCCCTCAGTCTCTTTCCTAACACTGTGCGACCGCATGTTGATGCTACAAATCAATGGATTCAATAAGAAAACACCAAAAGTGCACCGTCACGGCACTCTTTGCTTTTCTGGGTATACCCTATCACCTGCTTCACCTAACACACACACACACACAGAAGCGCGGTGCCGTGGCGCATTCACTGCGAGTGATTGGTGTCGTCGGTGATAGCAAGAGACGCACAAGTACGATGAGCGCCATGACAATGCATTATTGTCGCATCTTGATTGGCCTTTGCTCGATTGTGGCATCGGCTGTGGACGGATCTAAAGCGAAACGCAGTATACGCCTTTCCAGTGTTTATTACCCAGGGCTAAAAGGCCGAGTCATTGGGTCATGGAGACGTGTGCGGCGTCTGGTACCCGGTAGAAGAGAGCTACTGCGCATGCCCAGATCGCGTTCCACAGTCCGGTTGAAAAATATGGCAGCTCGCAGAAGGGGTTTTTTGGGACGGTCTGTAGGTTAATTTCATCACCCGTTTAAAGAGACCGTCATTGTACGTGTCATGCCTACGCAGAAAACAGCAACTAAACGGCACGAAGTTTCGGAGACTGCAGACCGACGTCCATGATTATGGATGTCAGGGAAGAATGTCGTAGAACACGTGACGGAATGAGTGACATCCCAGGCGGTAACCATCATTGAGGAAGGCATGAAGGCTCGTGCTACGCTATGACTAGTGATAAAATCTGTGCGACGACGACGTGGAGAAGATACTATCAAATACGATATAGCTTCGCCAATACTGGAAACTCCTCCGAAAACCTATGGGAGCGGCGGCGAACGTGACAGTGGCGCCTCTAGCGGACTCGGAGTCTACGGAAGCAGTCGACGCAATGGAAAAGTATAGGCTCCGCGACGTCCTCGAGCTTTACGAGCCCCGTTTCGTCACCCTAACAGCAGAAACAATTTATTACGGTCAGTCCGCTTGCAAAGCGGAATCCACTGATCGCAACTGCAACGACAATCGAATAACAACGCGCGCATAAACAAAGATAGAGCAGTTTATTTAGCGGTCTCAAACGCCTCTCAGGGGATCACACGCGTTTGAAACGTGTCTGGGAAGCGGAAAAAAGGCGTTTAGCTACTCGAACTACGTCGTAACCATTAAAACATGCAAAAACGACATGTTAATATTACCAGAGCAAGCGCACGAGCTGCTGGAGCATAAAAACAAAACAAAAAGTAAGGATAAAAATGACCGTGCAAACACTTACCGAACTTTGCAGAAAAAATGGTGTCGCCATTTTTGACGAAAATAAAAAGAAACGGGGAAAAGAAGCGAACAACGGCGAATAAAACAAAGAAGCTAGCAAAAAACTATTTCAACGACGACGATCGTTGCGGCGCTTGTAGAAAAAAGGAAAGAAAAATAGAAAGCAGCAAATGAATAGCTGGTGGTCGCCACCGGTGTTGAGTTCACGACAAACAAAGCGGAAGCAACAGACGAAACTAATGAAGAAAGAAGAAAGCGTCCCTTTTTTTTCAGCTGGTTGTTGTACATTTCTTTATTTGCTTTCGCGGCGTAGGTACGAACTAAAAACAAAACAGGGGAAATAAATAACGTAGTGCAGCTCACACTGACCGGTACAAAAGAGTCGCAGAAATGTTTTGGTCGCAGGCAGCAATCTCCCATATGTGCTAGCAGTGAGTAACCTTTTTTTGCTTTCGAATTTCTTTATCCAGTGACTTTGGCGGGTTGTTCGTTCGCTCGCTTGACGAAGCAGTTTAAAAGTGCATTCAAGTACTTGACGTAGGTGTCAGTAGGTTGACGTAGGAAGCAGAAGAAAGATTTTCCACCACATCGCACAAACTTGTTCTTGCAATGGTAGGCAGCACATAGCATGCCTGCCATCTCTAAGTATGGTGTATGCTCGAATGCGGCCGGTTGATCAACAAATGATGACCCGTAGCAGACGTGCCGGCCGGAGTACACAAATAAAATTCGAATAAAAATGTATAACGAGCTTACACTTCTTAATATATTTAATAAATATCAAAAAGCACGTATGACAAATTTTGGATTAGAAACTTAATCGAAGGCGAAAATAGGAGGTTATCGCAGACGACAGTGGAAGAAAACAACAACAACAACAGCAAAGTTGCAGACGGCCCTCAAAA